TGCTGAGAGAGCAAGCTTCACCTGGAATGTGGAAAGGGAGATTTGTTTCTGCCCCAAGACTTCATTAGACATCTCCTGAAGACCAAGATACGTTCATGAACACAGAAGAAAATCCACCATGCCCAGACTGTAATAGTACGGAGATCTGGGATAAGCAGTTCAGATATTCTTTGCACAAAGCAAAGCTCATCACTGAATAAATTGTGTTCATGCCTGGAGTAGTGGACTCTCAGGTGGTTACAGAAGCACAAAGTGAACGAATACGTCAAGAAGGAAAATAACAGAATCTTTTTTATGGAATTTAAAATCATTAGAGGCCAGTACCATAATGCAGCACATTGAGCCACCACTTGAAATGCCAACACCCCTTACAGGCACCTGTTCATGTCTCGGCTGCTCCATTTCCAATCCAGCTTCCTGCTAATAGCCCAGGAAAAGCAGCAGATTTGGCTCCACTGCCACCCACATGACAGACCTGCAGGAAGTTCCTGGATTCAGCCTGGCCAGGCCCCAGCCGTTGTAGCTATCTTGGAAGAGAACTAGCAGAAAGACAACTCATCTATCTCTTTTTTGCCTCTTTCACCCCCCTTCTCTCTAATTCTGATTTTCAAATACATGATTGTATATATATATATATATATATTTTTTTTTTGCAAATGCCTCATATATATTTTTTCAAAAGCATTATATTGTTAATTACATGGGTTACCAGTGAACTGTGTTCTAGAACTGCGGTAAAAGCAAAGGTCAAGTTAGTCTACTTGTGTTCTGGATCTACACTTCAACATCACTGATACTGGATAAGTTACTCATCTTTTCGTCCCTCTATTTCTTCACCATAAAACTGACAACCTACTATCATTAGAGCTAAGGGACTGAACACTGATAAACCACGCAGGACAGTGCCTGGTGCAAAACGATCACTGTGTAAGTATTTACCCCACTAGGTGGGATAAGCATCCAGATCATTATGCACGTGCTCCAAGTTACTCTTCATGTAATATCCTAAGATCCTGAGACAAGTTTGAAGAAAAGCACAAATATATAAAATACACTCATTCCATTTTTTAAAGAAACTAATCAGAGATCCCCTGGCTCATGCTAGCCGTGCGAGGTTTCTGAATGACATCAATTTGCAAAAAGAGACCATTTTTACTGGTCAGAGCTATCCATGTACACAGTAAAGAACTCAATTCAGTGATAAATTTAAATACAGGCTTAGTCTGTCTTATCTGGAATGCTTGGGACCAAAGAAGTGCTTAGCATTTCCAATTTTTAAAATATTTGTGGATACCGGAGGAGACATCTTGTGGAAGGGACCCAAGTTTCAACACAAAACGCATGTGAGTTGCAATTACAACACACATGCATACTTTCTGGTTCTATGCAATAGTTTTAGTGTGTTTACATTCAGTCACACAAGGTCAGGCGTGGAATTCTCCAATGGTGATGTCACACTAGCATGTGCCAGTTTTGGAGCATTCTGGATTTCTGGATTAGGGATATTAAACTGAGTCTAACAAAGCAAAGGAAGGCAGAGTTGGAGCCGCTGTCTCCCTGCCACATGGAGGCTCTGTGGTCTCCAGGCAAGTGCAATTTCTCTGGTTCTTGCTCCTTGCCCTGCTGTGTGGCTGCGTGCATGAGGAAGCCATATGGGAAGCCCTCAGCCATTCCACAGTGTGAACATGCAGAGGACCACTCCCCTTCTGCTCCTTTCCACAGCTCCTGCCGCTGCCACAGGAGCTGCTAAGGGAAAACCCCTGGATTTATAGACACCGGATGGAAAGAAGGGCCAGCTTGGGGAACCAAGAAGGTGGCTCCCTGGCCTTCAAACATCTTTACACTGAACGGCCTGGCATTCTGGGCTTCCTTTGGGTCATTTCCAATAAATCTGGTCAGATGGTTTCTCCCTGAACAAGTGCCTTCTTTTGAAAAGTCAAGAATATACTGGATGATATTTAAATCCTTTTTGTTGTTGTTATTGTTTGAGAGAAAGAAAATTTCCCCCAAAACTGATCCACTCTGCAAATGACTGCAACATCCTGGACTGAGCCATGCTTTAAGCCAGGAGCCAGGAATTCAATCTGGGTCTCCCTTGTGGGTGGCAGGAAGCCAGTGACTCGTGCCACCACTTCCTGCCTCCCAGGGTGACATTAGCAGGAAGATAGAATCAGTAACTGGGCTGGTCCTGAAACCCAAGCACTCAGATATGAGGTACGAACATCCGAAGTATCGTGTTACTGCTATACCAAAGGCCTCCTTCAATCTTGGATAAGTAAATTAGTTCCATCTAATTGTTCTCCTACTAATAAATGCTTGAGATTAGCAAGACGTGAGTTTCTAACTTTCATAAACAAGTAGTGAGCACCCACTGATTTAACAGCCATAGTAGGTAGACCAAACAAAGCCTATATAAAGCTCTGAGGCAACATGAACAGGGTTTTGCTGCCAAATAAGCTTTCTCAATTTGCATAGGTGGAAGGGAGTGGGGAGACATTCATTAAACAAACAACAACAGAAGTGAGAAAATACCATGAAAAGGAATTCAAGATGCTGCACTGGCTTACAGCACAGAAAGTTAACCAGAGAGTTAAGGGAGAGCAACTCAAAAGAAGACATGGTGGTCACATTAACATTACTGGGGGCAAGGCAGGAGGTGGGTGTCCTGGGCCCTAGAGCAGAGCTGAAGATAGTAGAGAGGCAGCCCAGGCTGACCATGAAGGGCCCACAACTTCACACCCTCACACCCAGAGAAGTGGCAGAAAGCTGTTAAGCAGGGGAGTAGCCTCAGCCAGCCTGCATTTTCAACATTCCCTCTGATTGTGCACCCAAGGGACAAGGAAAAACCATCCCACAGTGTGACCATAGAGCTCTGGTAAGGGATGATGGAGGACACAAATCAAGTGTTGTCAGTGGAACCAGGGAGGAACAGAGAGACTCCAGCATGGAAGAGGTCGGAAGGAAGAGACTCCTGGGATTCTGGTTTGAATGTTGATTTTGGTGGTGAAGTCCTATACCAAGGAAGCTTAGGGGTAGAGATTATGAGTTCTATTCTGGACCTGTTGCTTCGGAGGTGCTTGGGAGACACAGGAGAGATGCCAGCTATTGAATAGGGCTTGGATGCAGGGGAAGACTGGGGCAGAGATGCCTTTCTGGAGTCTGCATCAAGACAGTCATCAGCATGAGTCGGGGTATGCAAAGAGCTCGAATTACAGACAACCAACACTTCAGAGATGTGTGGAGGCAAGAAGCATAGTAGACAGTGAAGGGGCAGCCAAGGGAGTTGGGAGGTAAACCCAGAGCCAAGGTCAGCGACGCCACAACCTGAGAAGGGGCCCTGGATTTGGGGGAAGCTGAGACTCATTCACTAGCTGCTCTAGTGAGAGTATTTGTAAGCTGGGTGGGAGCCAGCTTGCGGTAGGCTGAGGTGACTGTGATGCAAGGAAATGAACCCCACCCAAAGCATAAGCAAGGACTTCAAGCCACTGTGCTAAAAAAGGAAAAAGAGAACAAGTACAGGGAAATCTCAGAGAAACTATGTTTGGGTGTGGTTTTTTCTTTTGCTTTTACATAGAATTAAGCACATTTCAAAGCTGATGAGAATGTGCTGGAAGCAGGGGTCAGACCAAAAGCTGAGAGGGCGGATACTGATGAACAGCTTCCTGAACTGAGCAGAGGGGCCAAGTGTCACAGTGCAGGGAACAGGTTATCACATATCAGAGGAATGGCACAGCTCTCCTGGACACAGGAAAGGAGTGGGATAGCATGGCTCTAATGCCCGGAAGCTCAGTGATCTGGTGGGCGAGACTCTCCTCCCAAATGGCTTCCAGCTGCTCCACTGGGTGGGTGGCAAGAGCAACTTTGAGACTAAGTAGATAGCAGCAGATGGATGAGAGAGGGGCAAGAACTGCGGTTAAGAGGAGCATGAACCTGCACACTGGGAAGCATGCAGGCCCAGCTGAGAACCAAAACATGATCTGTTCTCAGTGGTGCAAGTGAGTGTGCCTGGGTGTGACCTCGCCGTGCAGACTCAGCAGCAGGGGTGAAGTGGGTGGCTGGCAGATGACTGGATCCATGAGGAGCAGCGGTGTGGCCTGGCAAGTGCACTGAACGGACAAGATGGCAAAGGAGTTTAGGATGTGAGTAGGAGGCTGGTTACAAGGGACAGGTCATGGAATCTAGGCTGGAGAGAGCAGTGAGTGTAGGCAGGGCAGTGAACACTGGAGGGCAGAAGGGAGAAGCTGAAACAAAAGGCCCTCTAGGGAAAGGAAGTGGGTACATTTGCAACAAGGAATTCTGGCGATTACAGACAACAGTGACAGGTTGGGGCTGCCAAGAGGCTGTGGACTTTGTGAAGATCAGACCGGCAGGTGGTACAGACCATCTTGGTCAAGTTAGAATGCTTGCTAAAGGTAGCCCACACTGCGGCAAAGGGAAATGCGAGGAGCTGCAGAATCATCAGATCCAACAAGGCAGGACACAAATGCAGAATCGCAAAACATCAGAAAGCCTGCTATGACATCTCACGAGCACAGCTTCATTCCTGTCATGAACAACTTAAGAGAAAAATCATCATGCTCAGCTAAGAGCAGGTAGAAGTTACTAAGCACAAGTCAGGATTTAGCTTTGACTTCCCAAGTCACTACCTTATGATGTCCTACTGGGATGTTTATCCTACACTAACAGCTGCTACTTCCTGGGTACCAGGACACCATGCGAATAAGGTGACATTTTCTTCTAGTCCATCTCCACAGCTCTCTGAGGGAGTTCCTTTCATTATTCCTATTTTACTGATGGGGAAACTGAGGCTTGAAGAAATTCAGTAAGTGGATCTCTTTCACAATATGTTTACTTTTTTCAGACAGAGACAATAATGCTAAATTAGTACATCATGGGCAATGACTATCAAAAGGACAGCAGAGTTCACCTAAGTTCTAAAACAACTGGTGACATGAGGACATCCACTTGATTTTTAAATGCTGAAAAATCTCAGTACTCACCTATATTTCTCTGAATGAGCATGCACTCCTTTTCCTTTGCAGAAAGCTGGCTTTTTCTTGATGCGCCAAACTCAAAGCAGTATTTGTTTTTCCCCACATCAAACAACGTGCAATTGAACGCGGTTCTCCTCTCTCCCAGTGGCAGGCTGTTCTGAGCCAGCTGGACGGTCCCCTCCCCTGGGCGCCTGGGGGCCTCCTTGAACACAGCCATCACTCCTTGGACAAAGATGCACGGTGGCGGCAGCACCATGACCTCCACCACAGACTCGCATGTGAGTTCTGGCGCCATGACTAGGTTGTATCCAAACTTCTGGGCCAGGTCAATGGGCCCTGTGGTGGCCATGACCGAGTCCCTGCCAAGCAGTTTCAGCACCACGGTAACATATGCTTCTGGCCCCACTGGTGCACAGCCAAACTCAACCCACTGGCCCTGTGCGAGTCCCGTCCTTTTGCTGGTTTTTATCTCCAGTGGCTGTCCGGGACCCGTTCTTGTCTCAGGAAGGCTATTGGCGAAGGTTACATCCACCAAGACATTGGGCTGGTCCACAGGAAAGGGGCACAGGGGCTGACTGGTAGAGAAGCCCACCTGGAAGGTGCCTTCTGCTGCCCAGGATGTCCTGTTTAAGTCAATGTGAAAGATGGGCCACTCCACCTTCAGCAAGGCACCTCTCTCCCACCACGGGAAGGGAGTGCTGTTGTCTGTCACTTCTGGAGCCATTGTCAGGAACCAGTAGTCACCAGCCTCCTTGAAGCAGAAGCATTCAAACTCCAGCGTTCCCTGGGACTGGTTGGTCAGGAGGGACTTGGTAGTAACAGTCTGATTGGTGCTGGCTTCCCAAAGCAGGACAGACACATTCCTTAGGGTGCCATTACCCTCATCAAAGTACCGGAAATCCACAGACACCGTGCTGTTGCTCAGGGCTACATGGCCTGGTTCTCTCAAGAAGAGATATTCAGCTTCACCAAGAACTGAAATGAGATAGTCAGGGTTGGCTTTGAAAGTTGCACTGGAAGAGCACTACCCATGACATCGATTTTTTTAAAGATCTACTTACTTATTTGAAAGTTACAGAAGGAGAGGGAGAGAGATATTTTTATCTGCCAAGTCACTCCCCAGATGGGCACAAAGGCCAGCAGTAGGGAAGGCTGAAGCTTATCCTGGTTTTTCCCATGGATAGCAGGTATCCGTACTCTTAGGCCATCTTTCTCTGCTTTTCCCAAGCCGTTAGCAGGGAGATGCATCAGAAGCAGAGCAGCTGCGACACCAACAGACACCACATGGGGTGCCAGCATTGCAGGTGGCAGCCTTACGTGCTATGCCGCAATGCCGACCCCATTTCAGACATGTGAGAAGTTGGAATTGGGATAAGAATGACATAAAATGATATACAGGTCCTGGGAACTGGACATTACTCTTTTCTTTGTTTTCTCACAATCACTCTTGCTTCTGGCTGAAATATTCAAGTGATAAGCACTGCTGTGAAGTCACAGTGTTCAACAGTGTAATCCATCTGTAATGAAAATCTACAAAGATGGAGCAATTGATAATTTTCAGAGTTAAAAATTTAAGACCTGGTCTGGCCTTGTGGCATAGCAGGTAAAGTTGTGTTATTTGGCACCAGCATCCCATATGGGCACCAGTTCATGTCCTGGTTGCTCTGCTAACAGCCTGGGAAAAGGAGATGGCCCAAGTGTTTGTGCCCCTGACACCAACATGGGAGACCTGCACGACGGGATGGCTTGGCCCAGCTCTGACTGATACAGCCTTCTAGTGAGTGAACTATCTCCCTTTCTTTGTAAATATGATTTTCAAATAAATTAATAAATCTTTAAGAAAAAATGCAATACTTTCCATTTCTTATTTTAATCATACTTTGGTGTTTAGGTATTTAGAGGAAATGGATACATGGAGTAAAGGCTGAGAAATCTCGTTTTGAATAACACAAATTGGTCTAGGTTATTTAAAATCCAAAACTCTAAATTGTCTCAAAGTTTTTTCTTTAATATTTGGGATAAGCTTTTAGGAGTTTTGAGCAATAATGGAGCCAATATCCTCAGTTTATGTGAGGCAGACATTTTTAGATGGATAAGAAATGTTGATACTCTGCTTTGAGAGGCTCACCCAGGGTCCACAGTGGACACTTTGGGCTTGGTTTATTTTAAGGGCATTACAGCAACCAGCACTGTCCTAGACACAACAGATGACTGCTAGCCTCCCAAGTATCATTCAGCTGGGATCAATCACATCTTTTCAAGCGAGAGCCTGCACAGCAGCTGAAGTGAATAGTGCAGATCCAGACACACAAGAACCCTTGTTTCTATTTTGAACCCTGTCCAGACACATATCAAAGGAAGCAGAATTTGGCAAGGCAACAGTCAGCTGGCCCACAGCTAGGGTAAGAACTATTCTAGATTTAAAGAACTGTAGCATCCTTTTGGCTTGAAGAATAATGTCAAGTATCTACCGTTCTTGTTAGATATACCACACGCAAAGATGACACACACATCACATATGTTCAAAGGTTCTGGCAGTCATGCTTGCTTATGCTAAATCAATGATTATTAGACTCAACACATGCATATATTGGCACATGTATGTTCTCAATCAGTAAAGCAGTTTACCTATTTCATATGAAGGCGAGGTGAAACAAAACATAAAATTTAGATAAACCCAAATGCCCAATCACCATTTGCTTGGAATCCATAATAGCAAGAGGCTGTTTTTCTCCCCACCTAGGACGAATGCAAATCTCGAGATAATTCCCTTTTGGATGAAGACAACTCGAGGTTGGGGAAGGTCCCAATGCTGGGGGAGTCTGTGGGCTGGCTCAGGGCTGACCTGATACTGTTCATGGCTAAAGAGACTCCAGTGGTCACCACAGCCCATGGAAGCAGTTATAACTGAGTACAAAGTCACAGCTGTTCAATTCTGAAGGAGGGCAGAGTGACCACGTGGCACATCTTAAGATAAACCACTTAATTATCCAAAGATCTAGTATGAATGACAGGGACTGTCACTGAGGCAGATGAGATTCAGATTTGGTGGAGAGTCAATCCATAAGCACCCCATTTCTAGTTGGAAATAGAGAACAAAGATGTGGTGAAAAATGGGCTCTAGCAGCAGACAGGAGGTGCGTGCTGAAGGTCGATGTTGTCACTTTAACCTAGAGCCCTTATCGCCACAGACGAGATCACGTCCTCACACAGAGAACTACCATTTGGCCCCACGAACCTGATGACTTGCATAAAATTTTCTTTCCCTTTATATGTCTGCTATCCCCTTTCTTTTAAAATTTTATTTATCTGAGAGGAGAGCATAGAGAGAAAGTTACTGGGTAAAAGGTATGGAAGATGCTGCTTCATTTAGCTGGCTCTTCCACTGGTATTCATCAGTAGTTTATGTATTGCGTTATAACAGTCCATCAGTTTTGAAAAAAATTTCTACTACCATATCATTAACTGCTTAAATAACTACAAAAGATATGCAAATTGTAAAAGATGGTTCATTTTGCATGTTATTTTAGCATAAGGATTAAGAGAGTAGTCTGAAAACACACAACCAGTAGGTATTACAGGCAGACTGGTTTAAAAGATATCCTAGCAGCAAAACTTTCTGATCAAGCAAAATCATATATAGAACTCCATCATTTAAAATGTCATTATGGGACCCCGGGTGATAGCCTAGTGGCTAAATCCTTGCCTTCAACTGCTAGGATCCCATATAGGTCTTAGTGTGTATTCTGGCTGCTCCACTTCCCATCCAGCTCCCTGCTTGTGCTCTGGGAAGGCAATAGAGGACAGCCCAAAGCCTCAGGACCTTGCACCTGCATGGGAGACCTGGAAGAAGCTTCTGGCTTCGGGTCAGCTCAGCTCCAGCCACTGCATCCTCTTGGGGAGTTAACCAGGGGAGGAAAGATGTTTCTCTCTGTATATCTGCCTTTCCAATAAAAATATAAAATAAATATTTTTAAAAATATCATTGTGTGTGTGAGTGTTTAATACAGAATTATTGGGAAATCAATAAAAGATAACTCTGGATAACATGCTTCTCTGCACTTTGCTAAAATCAGAGTAAGGTTTGCTTTTAATTTTTAAGAGTAAAAAAAATATTTAGGACCCACTGCAATGACTCAATTGGCTAATCCTCTCCCTTCAAGTACCAGGATCCCATATTGGCACTGGTTCATGTCATAATTGCTCCACTTCCCATCCAGCTCCCTGCCTGTGGCCTGCGAAAGCAGGAAAGGATGGATCAAAGTCTTGGGACCCTGCACCCACATGCAAGACCCAGAAGAAGCCCCTGGCTCCTGGCTTTGGATCAGCTTAGGTCCAGCTGTTGTAGCCACTTGGGGAGTGAACCAGCAGACAGATCTTTCTCTCTGTCTCTCCTCTTTATAAATCTGTCTTCCCAGTAAAAATAAGTCAATCTTTGAAAAGAAAAAATAAATTGAAATTTGAATGAAACATACAAAACTGGGGAAGCACATTAGGCTTACAAAGACCACAGTGTCAATGCCCCGCACCGCAGACCCTGCCCTGAAGCTGCCTGTAGGGTCCTGGAGTTCAGTGCATGGAAACTTCCCTTGTAGGTTTCACTGCCAAAACCCACTGCCAACCTACACTCAGGATACTCACCGTAGTCACAGAGCACCACCAACAGCAGATTGGAAAAATCTTGCAACATTGGTTTCATTCTGATCAGCAAAATCCCAGGTCTTTAGTCTCCTCATGTCCTTCTTCTCACATCCAAATTGTGATTTTCTTCTTGATCTCCAAAACACCTGAAAGCAGAACTTCAGACATGATGATGCTGTTCAATGCGATTCATAAAATCATGAAATGACAAAGCCATTCTGGGAACTCAGACTTCCCAGGAGACACTGAAAGGAAATTCTTCAGAACATGAACTTTCCCTGTGGGTGAACAAGTTTCTCTTGCTCCATTCCAGCTTACCTGTCGAGAACATTCAGGTGTGCCCAACCTGGAGCTAATCTTTGCATAATGCCAAGGTTTATCTGTACAACACACCCTTAAGTGAATTTATTGTTATTTACTTAATTGCATCAAAACTAGTAGTTAATACGGATGAAACATTTTCACACATTCAGCTGCTCAGCACTTTGCATGATGAGTCAGGCCAACTCTCACTTAGCATCACGCAGTATGTAGACCAAACCCTCACTGCTTCCCATCTTCCACAAACGGGCTATTACCACTTCCTTGCACAATTGGTGCATTATCTAGATGTCTTTGACATTCTGAGGAGCCACATCCAAATGATGAAATCTTTGGGGAAAAAATACCCGGAATATTATACTAAACATTAACTCCATGTGGTCCTGACTTTCATGACAGATTAACAGCAACTGTCACCTTCTATCAGTCTTCCACTAGTTGCAGCTAGCATTCATGGGGAGACAGGGTCTTCCTGCAGCCATCTCCCCAGGGCGCCTGGGAGGGCAGGAAGGCTTTGTTAGCTTTAAGTTCAAAATGACTTGCGGGAAGAGACCTCTGCTTTGATATAAATAGAATAACACGCAAGGAATTTGAGCCAGTTTTTAAAAACTAGAGTCCGCAAAAAGACATGAAGTTGCTGCTCCCAACACCTGAACCCCCCCCCCCATGGAAGTGTCCGGTTTCAGTCCCAGTGACTCTGCATCCAATCCAGTTTCCCCGCTAACGTGCTTCCCACTGCGAAACAGATGACAGCTCAAGCCGCTGGGTGGCTGCCTCGTAGGTGGGAGACTCAGCTCGAAGTTCAGGCTCTAGGCTTTAGCCTGGCCCAGTCCCGGGTGTTGATGGCATCTAGGGAGTCAATCAGTGGACAGTAGAACTCTGTCTCCCAGTTTTTCAAATAAAGTGAGAAATATTTCTTCAAAAAGACAACTATAATACATTTTCTTAATGTTTACAGTTCCCTGTACTGTTCATTCTTAATGTAGTTTTAACAAGCAACTATACTGTTTTCCAAATACATGTTACATTCTCTACACGAGAACAGAAATTCATGAAATTAAGAGGATTGGTTGAAATAAGCCACAATATACTGGGAAGGAAACTGGTGTGTCTCTATTAACTCTCCTTGGGTCAGTAAGAGTTGGTTCCACAAAGGAAACACTGTATTTCCTGAAAGGAAGACAGGGATTTGAAGTAATCAGGCAGGTGATTAGGGATCCTCTGCTGAACAAATGAAAAAGAAAACTCTTGTTTGGGGAGAAACAGCCCCCTGCACCTGAATGGCATAAGTCAGCCAGAGCCAACAGGTGAAGCCCTGGCATCAACCCATCCTCACAGGTAAGCATGACCACTTCCTTTAAGTCACTGATACACAGTGGCGCAAGGAGAAGCCAGCTCCCCACCTGCTTCCCCATGATAACCATGTATTTTTTTTTAAGTTGATCTACTGGCCCACACTCCAGTTGCCTAAGATGACTGGAACTGGACAGAAGCCAGGCACTCCATGCAGGTCTCCCATGATGGTGACAGACACCCAACTGAGTTATGCCAGGGCCAGGGATCGAACCCAGGCACTCGAAAGTAGGAGGCAGGCATTTCACCCACTATGCCAAGGCCCACGCCAACAAATCTGATTCCCTCAACCACAGTGGATTTTGTAACTTTAACACAGTCTTCTCATGAAAATGAGCAGTAAAATGGACTTGAACTATCATCTATATTCTAAGCTGGATAGCAACAGAATTACAGAATAAATCAGACTATAAATTATTATCCTAATTTGAATACCATAATCTTAACATTTCGCTTTAATTCGATTGTCTACCTTGCTTGTGAATTTTCTTTCAACAAGTTGTACCCAATGCCCTGCCTATCTATACACAATGCATCACAGAGTATCATTTTAAACAGTCAAGAACTTACACACACTGAAAGATACCTGTGCTTTGGCTCGGCCTTGGTTGAGGCATCCCAAGTGCTCGCAGCCCTTCTTCAACGCTTGCCAACTCCGGCCCTGGCACACAGCTCCCTTCCCCACACCGCTTGTATCCCAATGTAATACTTCGTCTTTCAAGCAACAACGCCTGGTATTCGCGGTCCCAAAACTTTGGTTCAGTGCCGCTCACGGCCCACTCAGCCTCCTGGCAACACCTGCTCCCGGACAGCCGGTGGCGCAGACGGGGAGTCCGCAGCGCGCCCTCGGGCTGCGGAGAGGTGGCAGGGACCCGCGGCGGCAGAAGGCTCTCCTTACCTCTCGAGACGCCGGGCCGGGTGACGGGACCCAACGCCCAGTGCCAGGCGCAGCGGAGGCCTCAGGGCCGGCGAGGCTGCGCGCCCAGCATCCCGCGTCCGCGGACTGCGCGCCCCGCCCGAGCCCGCCTCCGCCTCCGCTGGCTGCGCGGCGAGGGCGGGGGTCATTCCGGACCCGCCCCCGCCCCTTCGGGGCCGCGCATCCTTTCCTGCCCGCCTCCAGAGCACTGGGCCGGGAAGCCCGCAGGAAACGCGGCGGCCGGCGGTGGGGAGACCCGAGCGGGCGGTGCGGGGTGCGCTAGCGACCTCCGGCGCGCCCCAGCCCGACCTCACTTCCCCAGGGTCGCTTTCTGATCTAGACCCCGCAAAGTGGCCTAATGCGTTAGGAACTGTAAACTTGTCTTCCGCAGAGCCACGGAAATTTCAGTAGGAACAGGTAAAAATGTTTCTTCCTCTTTTTTTATTTTTTTCTTTTCTTTCCTAGGAGCCAGAAATAGGTCCATTGAGTCAATCACAAGGAAGCATGTGAAAACTGCTCCGCAAGTGTGAAAGCTGCCCTCCTCAAAGACTGCGGGAGGAGCGAGTTCCGCCGGGCTCCACAGCCTGTTCTTGCCGCAGGGAGGTGCTGTCAGGTTCGCCCCAGCCGTCGGGCGACAGACCCCACGAAGAGACAGCTCCTGTGCTGTAAGGGACACTGGAGCCGAGGGCCTCCCGCGAGGCGGCCACCGGAGCACTTTGGAGAGTCCTGTCGGCTGGCATGTGAGTTACTTCTGCGGTTTACACTTGTCAAGGCTCAGGAAGCTCACTGCCTTTCACTGTGATTTTCAACTTTTTTCACTCACTTAACAACATGCTGTTGGCAGGTGCCTTAAACCCGTCACTTTATCTTTTAAAAGATAACCCAAGTGTTCGATTCTAACTATTAAAGACACCTTATTTTCCTAAGTTCCCATTTTGTCAGATAGGAACTAAGTAAATTCATCTAATGTTCCAAAGAAGCTTTAAGGCTATTATCCAGTTTTATTGCCAGCATAATTGTCTGGCACTAACCATTCATCAACGTAAGTCGGGATTTCTTGACAAACGCCTGCCACGGGGCTACCTCCCTGACGTTTTCAGTTTTGAGTGAGCCTGGAGCTGATTCAGATCTGCACAGATGCAGGGCAGTCTGTGTTGTCTGTGGCAAAGCCCCTGTGGGACCTAGCCCTGCCCTGGGTGGCCTGCTTTCCCCCCGGTTTCCCCCAGTGTGGTAACCAAGTGCACCGACCTTTCAGACACACTTGTTCCTTCCAAAGTCTCCAGGGGTGAAAGGACTCAAGTCCATTTCCAAGTGGTTATATCCATATGCCTGGCCGTTTTCAAAATAACTTTATTGAGCTGCTTGGTCACTTTTGTCTGAATTAGAATTCTTGCCAAACTGTATCATTAATGTCTTTATTGATACAATTTAACCTTTTCTAATAAAACCAAGAAAAAATCCAAAAGAGGAGTGACATGCCTTTGTCAGTACTGAACTATCGCGAATCCGGCTTTCAGACACCTTGCATTCTTTCTGGGTCAGATCCTCTGTCTTTGCATAGATCTTTTCAAAAGATCTTTTACTATTGCCCTCACAAAGTCTCTGAGATGAGTTATAAGGGCTCAGGATAGCGTTATCAGGAAACAAGGAAAATGAGTGACCTAGTCTTCCTCTACAGAACAGAACAGACTCTTGTGTGTGTGTGTGTTTGATCTAGTTGTCCTGGAGTGATTCCCTGAGCACAGATAAGGCAGGGGGCCTGGAACTCCAGTAAGACGAGCCCATGGTTGAGGGTGTCTCTTGAGAGGGGGGGAGAGGACAGACAGGTTTGCCTATCAGTCCTGACACTATGCAGTGCTAGCATCCAAACTCTCAGTTCAATCACCTCCCACGTGGCACAAGAAACCTTCCACATGGGCAGAGCTGAGAATTCAAAAAAAGCATTACAGGACAGTCTTTGAACTTAAAAGAAATCCACTTTCTCTGTTTTCTTTGGGCTTCAAAATGATCATTAAAGCAATCAAGTATATAGGATGACAGACAGTAACTCCTACAGACTGTGGAAACAGCTGTGTACTGGACACATTCTTTTCTAGAGCAAGTGAATCTGATTTGGGTTAGTTGGGGTGAGGTGGGTAAGAATGTGAGAAGCAGTGAAAGGAAGTCTGGACAGCCAAGGGCAGATGTGTCCAGGAACAGGAAGTCTCTCTTAGACTCTTCCGTGACCCCATGCCTTCCACTGTCTCTCGGTCCTTGTGTGCCCAGTTTATAAGGCTCTTGCTGTCCACCACACCTTTCCAGAACTCTCCAGCAGAACTGAAAGCTCCTCTCTCCTTTTCACAGCATGGCACCTGGAACCCTTCTACGTGCACACTTCTTTCCATCTTCAGTACAGGTTGCTCACGTGGCTGTTTCCCCGACCACGTCAACCCTGCAAAGTCTACATTATGCAAAAAAGTGTGTTTTCCCTTCGTAAACGGAATTGAATGTGAGCTAAGGTGGGATCAAGTGGAGCCAGGTTGTAAATAGGCATATATACTGGAATTTGCTAATTCAGTACACACTGATTGAACGCCGACTGTGTGCCAGGCCCTGTTCCATGCTCCAAGAATGCATCCAACACACCCAACAAAAATCTCTGCCCTTGTGGAGGCTTACTTCACATTGATCATAAGGGATGAAGTCAGGAACAGATTCACAAAAATTCAACCCTCACTCCAACATACACTTACATATGTAATTATGAATACTGGATTTATTGTATGTACAATGTATTCATGCCTATGTTTCATCCCATGAAGATACAAACAGTAAGACTATGAAA